ATGATGGCGGTCGTCATGTCCTCGGGGTCGTCTCCTCCTCTCTCTCTCTCTATCTCTCTCTCTCTCTCTCTTTCTCTCATGTACTCATGTTGTTTGGATATGTTGCAGAGTTATTCCCAGGACTCTAATGCCTAGAGAGGTATGTCTGCCTGTTTCTTATTCCTTGCTTTCTTCTTTGGAAGTATTAAGCTCAGCATCAGGATTTTTATCTTACAATTTCGACACTTAGATCAGGGGTTCTTATTTACCCCTACGAGAGCATGACCCGACTTCAACTCCTGGGATCTGCAGATCACAGGAGAGCCCGTAGGAGAGGTGAGGGCTGTCTCAGGAATGCACCAAAGGAAGGCCGAGATGGCCCGCCAAGCCGATGCCTTTATAGCTTTGCCCGGTAAACATTACAGCATAACTTTGCATGTACTTTTAGCAACTCAAGTGCGTACATATTGTAGATCGATACACTGCATAGCCTTTAGCATCGAACTCTCAACCATGCTTAGGTGGCTATGGAACCCTGGAAGAACTCCTGGAAGTGATTACTTGGGCTCAGCTCGGGATCCACGACAAGCCTGTATACTTGATACATCAACTGTACTGATTCTAACCTTTCAATCACCATCTCTTTCTTCTCACTCCATCATCTGTGGCTGTGGCAGGTGGGATTGCTGAACGTTGACGGCTACTACAACTCGTTGCTCTCCTTCGTCGACAAGGCTGTGGACGAGGGATTCGTCGCGCCCGCCGCACGCCACATCATCATCTCTGCACACACTGCCCACGAGCTGTTGTCCAAGCTCGAGGTACGGAGTTGATCGCTCCTTCCGGTTTAAGATCGACGCTGAGAATGCTGGTCTCATGCAGGATTACGTGCCGATGCATGAAGGAGCCGCAGCGAAGCTGAGTTGGGGAGTGGAGCAGTTAGGGCACCCACCCAAAGTGGACATCGCCCGTTGACCTCGGCCCTCCCCCACTCCCTCCGGTACACGTTGACCAACCCTCGTTCCCGAGGCCATTCTAAATTTTATTTCTCTCTTTCCTCTTTCTTCTGCTCACGTCGGTCATCGATGCCCCTCCGGTTCAGCTTTTTTTTAACTGCTTTGGTTGTAGAAGTGGGTCCCACCGGTGACATGCCCTCGTCACCTTCTGTTCCGGTGGTTGACTTTTTTGACCTCAGACCGTGGGGTCAGATTAAAGTTGGAATCACCCAACAGGAAGTCTTGTCTCCTTCTGTCGGTAACCCTTTTCTTCCTCTTGTTCTGATTCCTCCTCCGCTCGTTAATCTCCCAGCTTGATGTGTAGAAAAAAGGTTCTTTGTTCTCGAGTGCACCACGATGTATTATCCCGTTGTTTGTTTGTTTGTGATGAAATAAAAACCTGAGCCGATGTTCCCATCAGAGGGACACTTGGAGGGACAGGTGTGGTGGTGCATTGCACCGGTGCAAGCTCGGGGGGAGATGAAACGTGCACCATCGAGCACCATAGAAAGAGGATCCCGATGGAGAGAGAGAGAGAGAGAGGTGTGTGGATAAGGAGAGGAGGGGAGATGGGAGAACTGTGTTCACGTGAGGGAAAACCAAACCATCGATGGAGACATGACGACCCCTCACACACAGGGCAGCAGATGAGGAGTTGTTTGTGGTTGTTGATGATGATGATTGCATTCCTACCATAAATCTCATTGTAGTTCTTTAGTCATTTTCTTTCTTATTCTTTGCGTACATGTCCCTCGATACAAGAAGAAATGCTGACAACCATCAAAGAAGAGAAAATACATTCCTTTGTGCATAATTTCTTTTGGAGTGGACCGAAAAGACCATATTAAGTCCTGAAGATTTTCGACCAGCGAATTTAACTCTTTATGAGTTTGATACTTCGAATGCAATTAGTAATTCTTCACCAGAGTCTCAAATAGGGTCAATGTCCGAGTCCAGATACCTATCATCTCAAACATGGAATTTCTTGGCTTATTCTTGTCTTCTTATCTGGAAGAACACGGATCCACTTGGCTTTTATGTTCCTAGTTAGTGCAGGTGATATTTTATGTGCTTAGCTACTTCATTTGTCAACACAGTACGAAGACTTGCTTGAATGTTAGGAAGAAAGATGCTAGTTTTAGACCTTAGAAAAATGGGATAGGGGTGGGGACCCTATTTGCCTATGTTCTTCTTCACCTCAAGTGGTGAGCTTCTATGTTCCGACAAGGGATGTCAATTACCTACTCTCTACCTCCTCAATAGATAAAATAAAATTCTCATTGAGATAATTAATTCATTAATTTTAAATATAGATCTGAAACCATTGGTCTAAAATATTCAATCTGATTTATTCATAGTATATTCATTTATTTGTTTTTAGTTAGTCAATAATAAGTCGGTATTATTATGATCCAATCCCGTAGAATAAGTGATAGGATTGAAGATATAAGTTACTAAGATTAAATTGGGATAGTATATTTGCCTATTATCTTCAGCTGACTCATGGATGATATGTCTAACATATAAACCTCCAAATGGACTCTTTCAACCAAGAATTATGGACTAATTCAAGTATATGATTAAAGATGTCCCTCTCCTAATATTCGAACTTAAACCTCCAAATCGAATCTAGCTTGTCATTAGAATTCAATCTATATTGAGTCCTCTCCTAATAATTTAAATTATTGGCCAAACAATAAAGATATTTATCATCGAACAAACAATTTGCTTTCACAATATAAACAAGATAATGAGAGTGTGACTGATGGTGGAGGGAAGAGGAAGACAAGGGCCAATGATTTCCTTTGTACTCCTGTGAACCTTTTCCAGAAGAAGAAGACCATGCTGATGATCCCCAACACAAGGCCTCGAGTGCCACAGTGATATGTTGGTTTGCTTCCCCTCTAAGCGTTCGAAGTGCTCATGGCAATAAAAGCCACTCGATGCCAGCAGTTGTCCTCTTCCATGCATGCATGTTTTAGAGGGTTTTGTTTGCATCTATATCCGACAGCAGAGGGTTGGCATCTATCTTGGAGTTCCACATGCACTTGCTGCCTGTTGAGAGAGAGCACTGACATGCGATGGGCATCGTTAATAGGTCCAACCAATACCAGTACAGCAAATGGTGTATGATCATTGGCATGAGAAATTAAGATCATATGGATTTGGGAGTGGTGGAGGATCCAACCTTGAAAGATGTCACTCACTCCATATATCCATGTCTCAAAGTAAAAGCTCATCAGAAGATCAAGTTAAGCAAAAATTCTTTTTTTATCATTTCCATGAAGGAAATAGCTCAACATAAAGGCCACCTTTCAAATAGGAAGAAAAATTGAACCCTCAACCAGCTTAATTTATCAATTAAATTGTTTGATCTTTAAAGAGATTGAAATATTCTCAACTCTTAATTTATTAACAAATACATTTTTTTTCAAAATTATTTAATTTTTTATTATAAGGATGAAAGGGAACCAAATTTGAATATATTTGTTCCTTTTTAGTCTCTGAATGTGTCTATTAAATTCCTATCATTCTCTTTCACTATATTGTAGAAACCATTTGTAGTTCAGCTAATTGATTATCAATTCAATTGAGAATGAAATATAATCGTGTCAATGGCCGCTCCAATTCTGATAATTATGGATAAAACCTGATATGTTTATAGGTTCTTGGATTAAAACTTGACAATTGAAAAAGAACTGTGCAACAGCACTGCAACAGGATCTACTAAAACTATATTACTAAGGGGATGGAACACCATCATTGTTTCATAGTTCACATGTCCTGTTTCAGATAACATTATAGAATACAGGATTTAGACTTTCAGAAGGTCAACGCAACATGCCTACAAGGCTACAGGAACTGTAGGTCAACTTTTATCCTCACTTGGGGGACAGCTAATAATGAAGTACACCTCCTTGTAGGAAATATGAACGAGTCCATTCATTTGCTACCATCAAAGCTAAAAAAAGTAAAACATGTACTTCCAATCAATCAAATGCCATCCTGAAGGATTCCAAGTAGGTAGGAAATGATATCTGTACAAGTAAGCTCTGCATGCTAGTCTTTTAGCATGGTTTGATTAATGGAAGCTGGCAATATCAAGTTAGACATTGAAAGAGAAAGATGAGGATGAGAATGATATGCTTCTTAAGCTATTTCTCATCCTTTGAGATTGTTTCGTGCTAATTGTTAGAATAGAAAATTAAAACTAGGTTTAACTTGATTATTAAAAAACAAAATCAAATTACACATGGAAAGAAAAGATTCAGAATAAGAATTGGATGTGAAACATGCTTTTAAGGGAGAGACAAATCCCAAGAGTGTGATTTTTATATTCCTTGATTGTTTATTTCAACTTTGAGTTGTAGACTAACCCTAGTTTATCAAACCCAAGTTATATAATAGTTTCCTTCTCTTTCTCAATCATATTCTAAACATATATCACTAGATTGATGGAGAATTATTATGCTGCATCATATAAATGTTCCTTTAGGCTCTCTAGATTTATGAGAGTCTATAAAAAATAAATTTGTTGAACTGAATTAGGAAAAAAAGACAGAAACAATTGAAAGATTAAAGGAAGAAAGAGAAGAAAGCTTTCTTCAAAATTTAATATGGATTGATGATATAATGTTCTCCATATTATTATTCTAATAAAGATATTAAGAAACTTACAAAATACTTCAAAAAGCATTTGATGGTGGAAACAAAGTAAGAGATATTTGTTTACAATCTTTACCGGTTAAGTTTGAAATATTATAATAATATATTTTTAACTATTTCGCAAATACCATTTCTATTATTCAAAAAAATGATAAAGAAATAAGTGATTAAAGAATAATAAACAATTATGATCTCTAGATCCAAAAATTTGCTTTTATAGTTATAATAATTGAAGAGTTTAAAGAGTTAAGACAAATATCTTTAAGAATTAATGGTTTCTCCCTAACGTCATGAATGAATGCTTGCAGAAAAGTGACAAGAAAGATCTGCCAAGCAAGTATTAGAAATCAAGCTTCCACTTTAAAACCAAAAGTAAATAAAATTAGTAGACAAATAGAAAATCATCATCTATATATTTGGATCAGTTGATAATTTCAAACCAATTACATTTTATGCCATACACCACTATATATGGATATCTATCTTCTTATTTATGTTTAAACTCTATTTAATTAAGTTATAATTATCCATGTGATCTTATAACATGTTTTGATAAATATGATTAATTAAGTAATTTTATTTTATCATATTTTAATGATAAAATTAATTAATAAATTTTAAAAATTAAATCAAATATCAAATTGGAGGATCTAATATCGAGGCAGAAGATCGAATATATTAGATTGACGTCATATTTTAGTTTCAATCTTGAAATATCCTTATATTAAATAATAAAAAATACATTAGGCTCATAATTATGTCAATTCTAAGGGGTGGATTTTTTTTCCTAGAATATATATAGTTCATTGCGAATAATGTATTTCATGATCCTTTGAATGACAACAATTATACTAAACTTATTGGATCTTAAACATTAAGAATGGCATGAAATTTATGTTTTAAGCACATCAATTGAAAGCAACTCCTCAACTAAATTCTTGTGTTTGTATTAAACCAGTGGCTAAAGATTTCCCTCATCAGCTACTAAAAGATTAAAATAAGGATTATAATTATCAAAAACTTTAAATTATTTTAAATAATTATTTTAAAATATAATCAAATTTGGTTTTACTCCATACACTAACTTCTAAGTTTACTTTTGGTTGGGCTCAGAATAGGTTAATTGTCAATTTAGAAATGTACTTGGTATAGGGGAAAGTATATGCTAGTCATAGGTGCCTAACAAGCCAATCATATGAGTGAATGACACGTGTGACTTGATACAGAATCTTTTTGCTTATTATATTACGGCATATATCACTTTATAACTATTGCAATATATATATATATATATATATATATATATATATATATATATATATATATATATATATATATATATATATAG